TCCCACTTATCGACATCTCTCAAAAATCCATCCCTCTTTGATGAAAGGTATTGAAGCAGGAAGAAGAAGACAGGTAGGAACAGAAGGGGAGTTTGGGGAGAACTATACACCCATAAACTGAATGAGTAGTTAATCGCATCATTCATCAATGAATTTATTATTGAGTACTGATTAAGTCAAAAGCTCTGGGGGAGTTAAAAAGGCAAGAGTCCCTACATTTAAGAAGTCCAGTTGGAAGACAACTGATGCATCTGTATGACCAGCAATGATTGCCATAAGGCAGGAGCAGACCATGCTGGGGTGTGGTGGAGAGAGGCACTGGATGGGTTCCCGAAAAGGCAGGAAGGGTGTAAAAGTGACTTTCAGGTTTAAGGTGTAGTTTGCGTGTGTAAAGGTGACTTTCAGGTTTAAGGTGTAGTTTGACAGGTAGAGCAGATAATGGATTTTAAATGATGACAAGCTTTTCTGCACTGGGAAGAAGTGGACGTGTAGAAAGACAATTAGGTAGCTTAAACTATGACAATACGTTTTTCCCATTTTCATCACTTTCTCCTCGCCCAAACAACCATACCTGGAAACCCTTGGCCAACACTTGGCCAAGGTCTACAGAGTTATTTGGGGCTCGCATGTGCAGAACCCTGTGGATGAGGAAGGATGGAAGTAGCTGCATGCTTCCATTGGATTACTCCAAGGCCTTGCAGGAGAATGTAGGCCACCCCACACCTTGCACAGAGAAGCTGAGTGGGGCTCTGAGTGAGGTTCCATCTGCGCAGTCCCCTCGGATCATGGCTGAGCTCTACAAGCTGCCCAAGAACTCTTTGCAACATAGCATTATGTCAGTAAAATGACACTGTTGCCCTCCAGATCCTACACCCAAGGCCGTGTGTGAGCAACTAAAACAGAGCAGATAGAATGAATGGGAGTCGTAGAGGCCTAAAGTGAAGAGGCTGGGGTGTCACTGATGGTAGGAAGAGCACTGGGTATGACAAAGAGTATGACGCCAGTGAGGGGGGGAAAGAATCCCATGTGGGCGGTCTCCACGAAGGAGGTGGGAAGCTGCGGGGGACGGGTAAGAAGAGGCAGTTGGGTGTAGAGGGCCCTATAGATGGTGAGAGGTGTGGGCCTCTGAGTTAGGTGTGTGTGAAGAGTGGGTATCCAAAGTGTGCTCAGCTGCGGATGCCTGACGCAAAGAGCCTGGGGGCAGAGGCGGTGCTCTCGTTATTATCTTGTATTTCTACCACGCTTTGCTCCAAAAGCCATTTAAATTCACATTGACAATCCTTAATAGCAATAAGGAGAGAGAAGCTTCCTTTCCTTTCTCATATCACAAGTGAAAGCTTATACAGGGCCTTAACCACCTAATATCATTAAGATACATGTTGTTGGGCCGGCCCGTGGCGCACTCGGGAGAGTGCAGCGCTTCGGTGCGCAGCGGCGCTCCCGCCACGGGTTCGGATCCTATATA